TGATACAGCGGCTGCATTTCAAGCCACAACAAGTGCAACTTCAAACTGGGTTTAGCAGGAACTCTTCGCAATCATAAAACCCATGTCTTCAACTTCTAAGACTGTATTAAATTCACACGATTGATAATATACGACGAACTATCGACTACCATTTATTTGAAGGAGTTTGTTTTGGCCGTCGCCGTCGCGGTTGCCGTTCTAAAATCGTAAGGTCTCTATTGTAGCGGCGACGCCGGCGAGAGCCAATGTCCCAGTGAACTATAAATCACGGGTCTGTATTAATGATCTAATGTTTGTAGTGAAGTATATTATTTTTAATAGCAGAAATTTCTGTACTCAGTATAAGGGAGCGGTCATTATTTATGGTGGGGGGGTGGCACCGAAGAGAAATGTTTTAGTGCTAAAAATTTTGCTGACCCAACCATTAAAAAGTAAACTATTTGATTACCCAACAAATATCAATTAAAAAAGAAATACCCACCCCTGGTCAAAAACATTACAAAAAGATACCATTCAGTTGTCACACAAGTCCCTTACCACTTCTGTGACATAGTTTGATAACGGATTGTGAAATTTTCCGCAGTCTAAAGTGTCACGTTGTCTGCACATGTACTTTCTTTGGAAGTTTTGGAGACACCATTTGTCTCCGAACAAATCGGAAAATGATCAAGATATATAGTGACTCTCGTTGATTCACATATTGTATTGACATATGACTGTTGACATTGCTTTTTAGTCTCCAATATTTCAGTGACTTATGCTTTGGAAATGACAATAAATTTTTATTACCCAACCCTTGAGTTGTTTTGTTTTTCATTTACCCAACCTTTTACTCACTCAAAATTTTGTTTACCCAACCATTTTCTCTTCGGTGCCACCCCCCGCCATAAATAATGACCGCTCCCTAATCTATAGTCAGTATTAATGTCAGTTCCGAGACGTTATATATAAACAGTCATTCCAAGCTTTTTTCAAATGAACTATTGGTATTCATTGATAAACTGTAAAATATTATATTTAACCAGACACAATACTAAAGTAAAATGTGGTGCCCGCCTACAAATAAAACTTTCGGCGTTTCCGCCTACATGCACAAGTAAAGTTATATTTAGCACGCTACACTGCACATTCTCCTGTCGGCCGCCAGTTGGTCTGTATATTAGGATCAAAACTGCGTTTTAAAGCCTTCAAACCATAGATATCTTATATACACTAGATAGTGCATCTAATTATTCTGCAATTCAAAAATTGAAGCCGTGATTGCAGTCTCAGGTCGTTCCCATGAAATTAGAAGATTCGTATGTTTTCTATTTCTTAAACAGGGAACTTAAACATTAGGTTAACCCTATTTCAAATTCGTTTTTAAAATATTCAAATGATGAAAGTTATTGTTGTTTTTAAGCGTTTATTAGCAAGTGGGAACAACCAACATGGCCGCCATCTATTCAAATGGGGGTAACCGCTGGAATATTCTTGGCTTCAATTTTACTAAAAGAGATGCGCTATCTAGTGTATATAAGATATCTATGCTTCAAACAGGGCCGTAGCGAGGGGTG